TCACAATCTGTTTTGACATGAAGCCACTAGAGCAATGATACTGAATCACGACAGAATGGGATGCAGACCTACGTCGTCATACCATTTACGTCATACGTCATACCAGAGGTACAATGATGATTTTATGTACAGTAAAACCCTGTTATATCGCCACCATTTATCCAGAGAAATTTTGGTGGTTTAAAGGGGTTTGGCGATAAATTGAGGGAAATGTATAAAGGAATTCTTAAGAAAACAAGAAAAAAGAAACATTGAAATATGTTGGCGGTAAACGAAGTGGCAAATGAAACAAGGGGCATATGTGAAAGTTTTGCTGTAGAATAAACTCAATGAGAGCTGCTGCATATATAGAGAAACATGAATGTGTTAAATTATTAGACAGGATCTACTTAATCAATTTTCCACACAAAAGTTTACTCTGTCAGATGAAAAAATGTTGCCTTTGTGACGTTTTACACCATTTAGTGCAAATCAGCTTGTCACATGACCTAAAGGTGGCGTTATTAATTAGGACATGTTTACATTGTGTCGTAACTTACACAAATACTTAATTGTGTTTCTAATACTGTCGAGTCATATATCTATATTCAGGGGCCACCGTCGGGAGAACTACGAAGTGGTCTCATATTGCAGGTGGTCCCCTAACACAGGGCCAGCCAGCAATGAAAACAACTGCAAAGGGGAGTTTTAAAACTGGTCTCAGTCACAGTTTCAGTTAGCATGAAAATAATTTCAATGGGCCCGGGAGGCCAGGTGGCCCAGTGGATAACGCACTCGCCTTTCACCAAGGCGTCCGGGGTTTAATTCATCACTCGGACATGAAAAGGTATAAGGTCACACCTGTCCTGAAATTACGGTTTTCACTGAATTCTCTGGTTTCCGCCCACCTTAAGACACTGTGTGTGCTTCCATTCCGGCAAACAAGGACGATAATTAATATAGGTTGAAATAACTTGTTTCGTAATTGTTCTAAAATAAATGAAGTTCTTATATTTAACTTCAATAGGGAATTTTCTGCGAGTGGTCTCTTAAAAAACACGTGGTCTCTTAATAGAGGTTGTTTCTCATGCAGGTTGGACTTTTGTTTTTAATATTCCATCTGTCAATTTTAATTTAAGGAAATCAAAATAAATCATGTGTGGTGGAAAAGATTTTGTGTCACAGAAAAGATATCGTGCCGATGAATAAAATGGTCCTTAATGCTACGGCCACGATTTCTCAGGTCTCGATCCATCTGTCTTATTCACACGGCAAACCATGTCAGATTCACCTTAAGGACAACTCTCGCTGAGTGTCACGTTACGTCTGTGGTGACACTTAGCTAAAATACAGATGTGTGGTATAGGGTTCTGGTTCTGGTTCCATGTTTGCCAAAAAATTATTTCATTATCATTGGAATGTGATAGTTCGCTTCTTCAACATAGCTTACTCATTAACTCATTCACCCCTGAAGACACATTTGAACTCTTCCTATTCAAAGGTTGGAATAGTTCATTTAAATTTCAGGGGTGAATGAGTTTATGTCTATCATGTTACCGACGGCAATGAATCCCGTAACAGTCACCAGTCAATACACAGCAGTCTATTTAACCCTTCTCTCTGTTTGTATTGCATTCCTGTTCTTCGGTAGGAGACCCTAGTACCTTGCTGTAATACCGTAAATATTTAAGGAATGATTTTTATTTTTTCAACATTGATGAGGTCATAACAACAATGGGTTTATGGACATATTGAATGAATCGCGTTAGCGATTCATGTAAAATATGTCCAAAAACCCATTGTTGTTATGACCTCATAAATGTTGAAAAAATAAATATCATTCCTTATATTTACATTGACGAATCCTTTCAGTGGATCGATATAACAACGAATAAAACAAATAAACAGGGTTTGTTCCTGCTTATACACGGGTGCAACGCAGTGGCGAGAACAGTGTTTTTTCGCGGGGAAATGTGACACTATCGTGAGAGATCTTAGCAACCGTCAACAACAATAACACAACAAAATGTAGTTCCATATTCAATGTTTATTTGTAGCACAGGACACGTGAATACGTGGATATTTCACAAAGCACAGTTCAATAATATTTTAAGATGTAAGAATTAAGCATCTAGGTCGGTCGTTCCGAGTGAGTAGTTTTTGTAGTGTATTACTACGCAGTGTGATCAGGTTACTATCAGTTCCCACGTGCTGAGATTCTATGAACACCTGTGTTATGCATTTATGAATGTAATTTTTGTCAATGGGTCTAAGCATACAGAATGTAAATATTCACGCATAGTGCACACTTTTTTAGAGAAAAATGATTATATCAAGTAAAGGGGTGTGCAATCTATACACAAGAATAATCTGAAACCAGTCCTGGGTCGTGACCATTTATCGTAAATTTTTCGTGAATTTCGGAAATATTTTGAAATCTACAATGAACTGTTAACATTTTGTGTAATAACTCATGATTTCATTGATTATTTTACCAATACAAAAAGTTGTTGGTTAAAGTAATATCACACGCAATCAGATAAATAAACTCAAGTACAGTTAATTAAAGGCCAAACTTTCAGGTCTCCTCGACGTAATGTTGTGAATATTGGTAAAAACACGTAACCTCTCCCAACTGCAAGTGCTTGTCTCGTCAACAAAAGCCCATCAACATTAGAAGTCTCTTTCATTCTCTGTGAAAGCATGACCCTACTGGAGAAACAAACCCCTCTTCTGTTAACCAATTCACCCCTCAAGTCACACTTGAACCTTACCATATCAAAGACTGGGCAAGTCCATTTAAGATATGTAGAGATGAATGAGTATGAGCAAAACAGAATCTGGTATTGGTGTTGCAGAGTCCCTCCGTCAATAGCCTGTCTCCTCAGCTGAACTCCTTCTTTCAAGGGTAGAGGCACCCTATCCATTGTACAAGCACTAAATTATCATCTTTAAAAGCTCTTCCACAGTAGATGTCTACCTCAGTAGAAGCATGTTTCTGCTAAAGTAACCCCCCCCCC